TGGGTTGTGACTTTCAAGGACACCGAGACCTCCACTGCGGTTCATCTTGCGCAATATTGCGGAGTCATTACGGTATCATCAAATGCGCACACTGTAAAACCCGCCTTGGACGCTACCGTAGTATAGGAGGCATCCTTTAAGACTAAGTCCTAATAGCACGCAGGCCCCCTACCTAAGGCTTAGTCACGTTTTCACCGGCGAAAAAGCTTGTTCTACGAGGATTTTAATGTATCGCCATCGTAATGCCCCCGTATATTGCGCCCCGCCTTAATTTTTCCCGGCCGATATCTCTTACTGCACTCCTTAACAAACGCCGTAAAGCCTAGCGTTAGAGCTTGAACAAAAGAAATATCAAGAAGCTTATCATTAGATGGTACTCGCATTGACAATAACACTTGATTTACATGCATTTCAAGTGTGCATTTTAACAAATGAGCTATATCAGAGTAAGTTTCATTTGCGTATTCATTCGCACAGCTGATCGTCGATATCTCAATGGCGTCAATGCGGTTGGTTCTACATATACAGTATTTCAGTGAAGGAGGTCTCTAGACCAGGGTGAACATGCGTTGGACTTCGTCCAGGTGGGGGGGGGGGTCGTATTTCGCGAGGTAGCGTTAATGTTACAGTAAGGGAAGTGATGATGCAGTTGGTTGGCGCGCTAAAATTTTGCCGTTTCACGGTGTGTATAACCCTCCTAAGGAAATGTTGGTGAAATAGGGGGAAGTGAGGGAATGTTTGCGGTTTCGTGGTAGGTATATACCCTCCTCCCCGCTCGACGGTAATTTTGGAGGAAAAAGTGGGCGGAGTTTGGGCTGTGTCGACTGGTCTCAGAATCGAATACTATAGAATGAGCCCCATGATGGCGATGGCAGGCGAGGGTGGTGAAGGGTTGACCCTGGGGGGTCGTATCGAGGCCCTCTAGAAGGGGGAGGGGGTCGTAAAATTTTCGAAATCGGTCCAACGTGACGGTTGACCCTGCTCTAGGAGCATTTGTTTTTGAGGAATAGCAGGCTCGCCAACTTTTGGCTACTGGTCTACTTGGATATCGTTGATGAATAAGTTCTTTTCTGAAGATGGAAACCGAAGTGCCTGGGTATTCCAGACAGTCGCTTGCATTGCGCAGCCTTTTTTTGTAATCCTGAGCTTTTTTAGTAGACGCACAGATCTGTAGCAAATCACCACGCTTCGGTTGACAGAAGCCTTGTAGCCCTCAAAAGTATTGGGATTGTGTTCCAAATCTCGTACGGCTATGCCTAGAGAGCAGGTGCTACAACTCGTCCAACTTTTTTTTTCAGAATTGAGAAGCTTCGCTGGTACATTTTGAGTGTTCTGGTGTACAATGTTGCAGCGCAATGGGGTGAGCACTCTTATTCTCAGCTATTTTTGTTCCTGATGAATATTCTATTTCTTTGAATGGCGCTCATGTTGTTGGCGAGGAGGGGGGAGGGGCGGGGTAAGGGGTGGGACACTCAAGTGTGTGAAGTGTGTAAGCGAATTGCTCTGCTTGGATTTGAGTAAGTCTTGGGGAGGATTTTGGGGGAGATGTAAGCAATTTGTGTTGTCCCTGCTGTTGCTCCTCTCTCCTGGGCTCAGTCCTAGTGTCACGTACCATCGACCCTAACGTGAATGCCTCCCTAAGGACATGAGCGCCCTATCGCATCTCTTGACGGCAAAGACTCGGGTGTTTTGCGTGTCGCAAGTTCCATATCCCAACGGTACCTATATCCTCCAAGGGCGGAGGTGGTTTCGATCCTGGGTCGTGAGTCGCCCGGGCCAACCAAGCCTTCCATCCCTCCGGGGTCGGTTAATTGGTACCAGACTTGTCTGGGAGGATAAAAACACTGACTTGTACATCGGCTGGCCCCCGCAAGTCATTGTATAGGCCACATCGCATTCAAACGCCACTACGAATGTACAAATGGAAGTAGAATGCGTGCCGCATCCCAAAAAGGGATTGATCAACGGCAAATGCTTTATCCTTTTTTCTTTGATATGATAGGGAATTTCACGGGCGAGCATACTGACAAACCACTTGCAATCATGCAACCGAC